ACTTTTGGCATTCATAATAAGGTTCACTCTTGTGTTCAGAATATCAACAGGAGTAAAGAAAGAGAAGTTAATATATCTTTGCTTCTCAGATAGGCCAGATAGAAAAATCTAAACAGCTGGAAATAATTCAGCATTTACCTGTGTTTGATTATATGTAGATACTTGAACTATACGCATGAAAGAGAGAGAAGTGAAAGAGGGGAATATTTAGGAGTATAAAAGCAAAAGATGCAATATGTGAGTGGGCTCTGGGGCCCAGGACACTCCTGGGCATCCAAATACTATAAATTAAGTAGGCCTAGCAACGAGGAAAGTTTCATTTGTTAACTTAAATAAGCAATTATTGTCACATAGCAGAAATCAACAGGAAGGGGGAAATAAGGTCTCAATTACCAATGTTTATAGCTGTTCATATAAAGTCTTTATAATTTATATTATGAAGTGCCAGAGTCTTTCCGAGTTTTGGCTATCATACACTAGTATGGCTCTCTTCCTATGATGTATCCAATTTATACAGTGACACTGAAGTTGTATAAGAGTGAAGTACAAATATTTATTTTGACTCCAGTCATCATATGAAACCAAAACTTACTTTTAATAGCAATAGCACTTAGACTCATATACTACTTCATAGGGCTTTACAGCATTCTCTTAAGCGGTCAGCATAATGCTCCCAACAATTTGGATCCTCCTTTTAACATATACATATTTATATATAACTTTTCATGTTACAGTACTTAATGGTTGAGTAGCTTTTAGAATCTAATTCATAGAAATAGAAATTTACAGAATTTTGTTATAGACACAATTTCTAAATTTTCCTTTTAATGGCCCATCTTTGCATTACTTGATGTTATACCCCAAAATGACCTTATATGTTGTGCTGTTGAATTCCTCCAGAACTGTTCACAAAGAAGTCTTTACAAATGCAGTATAATTCCAAATTTTAGATCCTGATATAGTTATGGCAGTTTATGAAAAGAAGTCTGTGATAGCCTGTATATTATCCAGGGTGTCTTAACATTTTGTCACATAGGCAGAGAGAAACCCAAACAGGCACTGTATTCTGGTTGGATGATCAATTGAAGCTGAGAGTATGAGGAAGCTTAGTTTCTTGTAGGAAAATTTTTCTGCAGGGGAAAGCTGGCAGAGGTAAAGTTTTAAAAAAACAGAAATGTTGGGAAGAAGGAAATTTGATGAAAATGTCATGGCTGGCAAACTGAAGTTAGACCTAGGCAGTGTTTGCTGTTGAAGCTTGGGTATTGGCTTTATAAAGAGCAGTATTGGCTGAAAATCCTGAGCTGGGCTGGGCAGTGTTATACTGTTGAAGAGTTATAAAAGTTGAGGAGAAGCCAAGACAAGACTCATGGAGTGGACAGGAGTGTGACACAGAAAAGTGCACTAAAGGAAAGTGGGGCCCAGCATGGAACATCAATTATCCAGCAAGGGGGATCTGGGGGGAGCCAGAAGAAAAGAAGACTACATTCTACCAGCCAAAAAGCTGCCAGCCTAAATGCTGCCAGTATCTTTTGTCTTTAGAAATAGAACAATATTTAGAGATTAAATCAACAGTACTGAATGCATGTACAATGTCATTAAAGAACTTACAGATGAATAAGGAAGTTAAGATGCATAATGTTCAACAAAGAAAAAAAACAGCCCTTTTGCAGTGCATTTTAAATCTCAATCCATGGCTTCATTTCTTTCCTGCTGGTTATCAGTAAAAATGGGCAGGAGAAGATGGGATTGCTCAGACCTGGCTTTTCTAGCTTAATTAACCTTGCTAGGGAACACAACTCAGAATAGATGCTGTTTGTCTTAATAAAAGAGAAGATAAAATCTCAAGAGTTGTTTTGCACTATGTCTTTCATCAAATCCGGAAAACTCATGAAAAACCCATGACAAGGTCTCTTCTGATAAATTGCTGCTAATACTTTTGGTACTACCATTGTGCTAGAGACAATTAACTATAAAACTTATTCCAGCTTAAATGTGATGCTGGGAATTTAGACAGTATGTTAGAAAAGGATTTAAATGAAATATTTTATGAAAACAGTGTAAATCATCTTCTATTTTCAGTGAACTACTAGCACTTCTTTCCATATAAGTTACCCAAAATCTTTGTAAGGAGATATAGATATAGAACCTTTTCTGACTTGTGATAAATGAGAAGCCCAGAAAAAGGATTGGAAATAATACAGCAGCATTTCCTATGGCAGCCATTAAAGCTTTGTGGATTGTCCATTCAGTTTTGTCAGTTGTATTAAGAGAAACTCCTACATCTTGTGAGTCAGTGCACACTTTTTGAAAATTGTTATGTATGTTTTTTGTGTGTTTCTTTCAGCTCCTGTTTGTGATTATTTTTTGAAGAAGGATTCTTCCTAAATAATGAACAAACAATCAGTTCAGTGCTTCAGCATGCAAGGAAGAGATGAAGCAGGAATGACTGTTCATCATTCCACGTTCCTGGCTACACCCAGATTGATAACAAGACTTGTTTCAGACTCCAGAATTTTCCCTTAGGAGAGAAAAACAGCTGAGTGTTTGTGGAAATAGCATTCAAGCTCTGACACGAGGTTTCTACTCCATGGAGCTTTTGCTGCCAAGTCTCAGGGTTTCCTTTGTGTTCTATATCACATCTTGTACCAGATAGCCTTTAAATTGTGGTTATGGCTCATAAGATAGAAGTTTTGAATTGTGTCTATATTATGTATACAGGGCCCAGATTTCTCTTTCCAGTTAGACATTTCGGCTTCCCCTGAGCATGATGAAGTTCTCTACTAGATGGTGGACACAGTTCATACAACATGACTACAGTTAACGCATGAGGTTAAAATGATGATTGATTATAGGCACTTGTGCAATGTTGGCAAGAAGCCATAAATATTCTCAGTTTGTGAATAAAGTCAATCATTTTGTTTGTTTAATTTATAATTTATTCTCCAATTAGTTGACAATTTATTTCAGTTTTTTTCTTGTATTATGTTTTTCCTCACATTTATTTACATTTCATAAGTTGATATTCTAAAAACTTGTGTTTCCAAGACTCAGCCCTTTCATAGTAATTGTCACTTTAGATGATGGTGAACAAAGGTGCTTCAGCATTTACCACTGTAGCTTCATTTAACACTCTAAATGCTTTTCATTCATTTATCAGCAATTCAACTTTTGAAAGATTTGTAAAGCAAACAGACAAATCTATCATTGCAATTTGATCTTTTTCTATATTCAGATGTTTTGCTTGCTTTACTTCTTATATGTCGTATGCATGTCCTAATTTTTAAGTGGGTATTTCAGGACTCATGTGTATGGCAGGTGGCCAGAGTTAGTGGAGAAGTGACAAAATTACAGTGAATGAGGCAGTGATGGAAAATACGTAGCGATACATCATGTATGCACTCAGGATTGTTTTCAGGGTTTTTTTTTTTCCTTTTTTATGGGAGAAATCTTTTTGGTTTTTTGATTTTGGTTTTTTGAACTGTGTGCCTAAAATTTCTTCACTTGCTTTTTTATTTGCTTTTATTTTTATTTTTTACCAAGATGGCTTTCTAGCTTCATTTCTGAGGTTTACTTATGGCTCTGCATTTCTCAGCTACTCCATCTTGTCAAGGAGCTGTGCTGTTTATTTTGAAGTTCACAGATAAAGTAATGGGTTTTTTATCCATACATGTGGATTTTTGTCATGTTAGTGGACAAGATAAGGAGAAGTAGTTCAACTTTAATGCTGGTTAAATAGCAGATGTCTGCTAAGAGTAAGAGATTTTGAGTGCTACTAAACTCCATTTTGTTTTCTCCTATTTTGCTTCAAGGCTTCTAAATAAAATGATTCCCATTGTGCTCCAGGTACTCTCACACCTAGAAAAAAAAATAATTAGGGAATTTAAAATCAGAATTCCAATCTCTCCAATTATTTCAGTAATACTGAACATATATGTCTTACACTGACATATCACAAGACCCAAGAAGTTGTATGAATTTGGAGCCTTTGCACTGAAAGGGGAAAGGGGGTTTACAGACAAATACTAATAAGATATTTGAGATGAAAAAATGCCTTTGGTGTTATTGTTTTTCAAGTACTCTGACTGAAGGTCATTTTCTTGGTATATCCTTGCTAGAACTGAAAATAAAGACCAGCTTATTAAATGCCACCCAGGAAAAATCCTTAAGTCCCCCAGGTATGCCTTGCTTAATAAAGTAGCCGTGACTCTGTGATCCTTGCCATCTGATCCAGGATTGTACTTTCATGATGTTAAGACAATTCTATGAATATGTACTACCTTCAAGCCAAATATCATCTCAAGTGTTTCATATTTTGGGGGGGTTGTTTTATTCTTGTTCATCCACAGGAATAAATGGAAGTTAAATATCAGTAGTTCTAAATGTTTACCTGTTCAGAATCAATTGTCAGCATAAGATTAAGTCTGACTTATCTATAAAATGCATTCTAGAATGGAAGGTAGAATCTTTCCACCTCAGTAATCATGATATTATTGCATTGTCTTTGAGCTCATTGAACAAGATGCCACATTAAAGAAAATAACGTGCATCTTATGTAGGGTGTAGCAGTCTTTGAGACTTCCGACAATTTTCTTCAGTTTGTCCTCTTTCTTAATTTTGATCAAAATTGTTAATATATGTTTTAGAGATATTTTGTACCAGAAACATTTTGTTTTTGCAGAAAGGAAGTGCGATAGTGAAAGGTATAAAATGAGATGTTTGTTCTTTATTGTAAAGGTGGGTCTATAAATAAGTCTAAAACTTTTGTTGAAGACTGCGGAGTTGATATTAGAATGCACTGTTACGTAAGAGGCTGATATTTAAGCAAGGAAATGAAATTAATCCTAGGCATTGAAAATGCAGAAATGGCATATAGAAATCAAAATCTAGCTCAGTTTTCAAAACAATAGTATGTATTGCTGAAAAAAATGCACCCACCTGCATTTATTTTTAAGGAGCATCAGAAGCAATGGTAGTGCAGAAAATGATTGCAGATGATTAAATGTATGTGTTGTCATTTATTTATAAATATTTCACTTCAAAATTATATAGGTTATTGCAGAAATCAAGAGATATCTCTTGTGCACAAAAGTTAAAACACAGTAAAGTATGTCCTTGGGACAGTTACTTGCCTCACTTTTAACTTGTTATATATCAAGGAGATCTTAAAAGAAAAATTAGAAGGCTAAAAGCTAAGCAATGAGTGGGAAGTACCCTCTTATCTGAATTTCAGTTTTCCTGCCACAGGCTCTTAGCCAAAAAGTTGATATGATAGATTGATACCACCCCAGCTGCTGTATCTGGAATTTTTCATGTTTCATAAAAATGTTTCTTATTAGCAATTAGAACAGCATGATAGAAAGTGAACAGTAATAAGGTTGTGCTAGAGAGAGGCCTAGCTACGGTTTAACAGAAATAAAGGAGAGCAATATGCAATTCAGTATCACATTCTGAACTGACAAACTCCAATAGTCCACTTGTCTTGTTTGCAGCAAAAAAAGAAAAAGAGTGCCGAAACAGTGGTTTTCTGATTCCCTGCATAAGGGCCTCAATGTGGTTTGGAAGCCAAATGTGTTCTTCCTCATCTTGAGGAATATCTGTTATGCTTTCATTGATTGATTGATTGATTGATTGATTGATTATGTGCCATAAAATAAGTATGATTCTTAGCATTCCACATAGATTTTCTCTAGAAGACTTTGTCTGTAACCTGGTCCTTCAGGTCTTCCAACAGTTTTCTTTTCAGTAGCAATTCAAGCAAAAACCTTCCAATGTGATTAAAACCCCAAAATGGTGATGGTGGTGGTGGGGGAAGCAGGGGATAAAACATCTTTGTTTATTGTCCTGATCTGCATGAGGTGACTACTGACTACTTCCATGCTACAGGAGAATTAGAACAGTGCCACAGTGATGGGGCAAAGAGAAGAAGTCCCTTATCACCCTATACCTGCTTCCTCATTCATCCTGTCTACTACCTTTGTAGTTAATTATTTAAAAATTATCAACCCAATGTCTAAATATGTGAAACTGACAAGTAAGCAATAGGGAAAATGTGTCAGCAATCAGGTTGACAAAAGTATTTTCCGGCGTATAAGACAACTCAGCGTATAAGATGACCCCCGACTTTGGAGACGATTTGCATGCTTAGAAAGTCGTCTTATATGCCAGAAAATATGGTAGTGCTTTTTGGATATATCTGAATCCATTGTTGAAGCAACAGAAACAACTGTTATTTTAAAAGTGTGGGGTCTTCAGTTGTTAGGACCTTAGGAGACCAGAGAGCCCTTTCACTGTGATACTTACGTTAACATCTGTTCATAACAACGGAAACCAATCCTTCACCCTGCTACATGTCTCTCAAGGTTATCTAGATTGGTCAATCTCCTTGCTTTTCTGGAAAAATTAATAATAAAATAGTCATGTCTGCAGGTTAGTCCCTTGGGAACATAAATGGCAAATGGAGTGATTTTTTTTCCATTTTTAAAAAAGTGGGGCTAGTTCAAAATAATATAAGTACTTCTTGTAGGTTTAACACATCTTTAAAAGCAATTTAGGAAAAGTAAAACATTAATCCAACACTACCAAGTGAAGAGTGAACAACAACTGACCCAAATGGTCATTGCCTTGTGCAAATCTCATTTCAGCATTGCCATTTCCTTCATGACTCTCAGTCACTGAAAATGGGGTTTTAATCAAGGGTGGCTTCTTGCTGCAATAAGTGCTATAAACTGACCTATGTGGGTTCTTCTACAGCTGTAGAAATACCTCTTCCTTTTCATAGGGAAACAACTTTCTTGAACATAAAATTCTAATATCCAAAAGAAAAATATTTATTTTTTTACAATATTGAGATTAACATTTTGTATAAAATTTTGGCAGGTGTGGCCTAGGCTAAGTCCTTGTATAAGATGGGCAGATTTTTTTTAAAGATCTCAACCGCTACAACAGCCTCAAGATTACCAAAGAATAGGGTTGGGATAGAAGGACAAAGCCAATCTCTGTGGCTGAAGCCCTCCAGCAGGTGTTCCAGGAGGAAAGAGAAAATGGAGAAGAGTTTGTGAGAAAGATTCCTATTTGGACCACAAATTTCCTGTGCTCACTCGTCTGCAGAATAATTACTTCCATTATGGTATGGATGCTAATAAAATATGTTCTGTTAAAAGGAAACCAATCATCCTCCTCCTGCGAAAAAGGTTGACCTCGATGAAAAATTAGTGATGGGCAAAGAGGTCTAGTTTTCCTATATGCTCTGCATGCTCCAGCTCTGTTCATGATTTCCTCCTTGGAAAAATCCCTTATTTGGTGATCTTTATCCGTTAAAAATCTAGCTTGTATTGTGTCCATTTCCTCAAATATCCATAAATGGAGGAAAAAACCTTCATGAGGAAACAAGGTGATAAAGTCAGGGAGGCAGAAATGGATTTAGGCTTGAGTTTTACTCTGGGATCAGGGGTAGTGGTTGCCGTTTCTGAGCTGTGAATTGCATTGGGTCCTTTTCAGCTGCATTTGCAAGATTTCACAACCATGTTAGACAGCTGTTCCACTTTTGGGGTCCTTCCAACATAATACAAGATAGTCAGGGGATCCAGATCCTGGGGAACACAACAGGGGGAAGCAGATGCTTCAGGATTCAGAGTATTGTATAAACCAAGAACCTGGAAAAAAAAAACCAAAAAATATATGAGGATCTTAGCTAGCACTTGCCAGTTGCTGGAATTAACCTTAGGCAGATAACATATTTCAAAAAATCCAACATTTATAGCTGCTACCTCTGCTCAACCACTGGGTAAATATATAGAACAATTTACTGATCAAATGATTTTTCATCTGGAGCAGCTAAGCAAGTTATATAACACCCAAACCTCTGTCCAAGCAAATGTAGTTCTTTAGCATATTCCTCTCTTTAAAAATAAATAAGTAAACTGGGTGTAACCGTCTTATAGTCTTGCTAAGAGTTTTTAAAAAACAGCTGAAAAAATCAACTTACTTTGGCCAGCATTTCCAAATCATACTGGATTTAATCCAGTCCTTCTCAAGTATCAACATTCACCTCCCAACTGTTTCAGTCCTTTACAAGTCCAAGTGAGATACTTGCTTTGCTCCATTCTACATACTGCTATAGAGAAAATCAGAAGACAACCGAGGAAAACTAGTATTTATCTATTTTTCAAGGTCAGGGTGTGAGGAAAACTAGTATTTATCTATTTTTCAAGGTCAGGGTGTGTACTATGTCCAGATACTACAAGTCTATTCCTTCCATCAGTCTTCTTCAAGGCCCATTAAATTATACTATCAATTCCTCTCCTCTCAAACAAAATACTGTATACAGAAAATAATTATGAAGATACAGTTTGTAAGTTCCAAATTTTCTAGGCTGAGATAGACTGCTGTTTGCTACTAGAACTTCCATGTAGCATGGCTCCTTAGAAAGCTACTCCATTTAACAAAAGACACTGACACAATATACTGCTAAGCCATTATATGTTTGGTTCTTAGTATGTTTTTATGAATCCAGACACAGAATTGTATGTTTTACAATTTATATTTTCTGTGAACATTGTCAATTATAGTTTATGTGGTTAAAAAACTGATTTATATAATTTCTAAACTGAATCATGGGTTTCTTAGCATGCAGATTTTAAAATATGCACAACCAAATGCTAAACAGATAACTATTGTTTAAAATCCTGCACTGCTAAGAAATATTCAATCAGTTACTCTACATTCACAATAATTGCAACATATACAACACTCTGATATAACAACTGCTACAGTGCTTCATTGGGTGTTTCCTATTCATGCTGGTAGTTGTCTTCTGTCATGGAAATTCTCTACAGCCAAATCTAATCATTATTAAAGTACTTTGCCATATAAATACTTACAACAGGCATTAACAACCACAACGGTTTAATTATTGACCTACACAGCTACTGCTGGGGGGGGGGTCCTTTTCAGTGGACCATTATTACATTTATTTTATAGAAAAGAACTAATATTTTTATTGGCCCAAGGCCCAGAAAATGGGTAGAAAGCAAACAAGGTATAGAACTCGGGGCTTGATCTAATTTTTGCTCATCAGAAATTTTGGGGCAGAATACTTCTTAACAGAAAGCCACTTCACACCACACTAAAATTTGACTTAGAGAAGAAAAAAAAGACAAATACTGTGCCTTAGGAGATGGAGTTAACCTCTTGGAGTAAAATTATAAATGTAATCACCAGATACTTGGTTTAAACAAAATGTGCCCCGTGATAGCTGCAAACTATCTCTCCCTGATTCCTTTTCAGCTGGAGCATAGGTATTTTCAGAGGGGGAATGAAGAGTTTATTAAGGAGTTCTTTCTCTAGGTTCTTCCAATGCAATTATCATCACACTAGGCCCCACACATCGGAGCTGTCAGAAAGCTAACCATGGATGGGGAGAGGGAGGAGGATCATCAGGTGTACTTGCAACTAAGCTTCAGTGAGCAGTGACTGTGTCCTATTAGTGCCTCCAGAATAAGATTGATTTGAGAGTTAGGGAATGCTATTTTTACTCCATTCCTTTGTGTACAACAAATTAAAAACACACGAAACATTTCAGGTTTCTATATGCTGTTTCCTTTGACCCAAACTTCATTCTATATTTTAATTCCATTTTGAATAATGTCTCCCTTTACACAGTCTCGGAAAAGCCATGATCAGGATTTCACACTTTTTTTTTTTTGAAGAAAGTAAAAACCAGACACCAAGTAGAACTGGAGAGAGGAAGGCCACAATATTTGGAGAGAAGGAATGTTATATTCTGTATGCCATTTTCAAATCCAAAATACTCCCCTGTCAAAGCAACTATTTTATTTCTTGTAAGGAAAAGTCGGACATAGCAGAATGGCTGCCGCTTTCAGCAACCAGGGATTTTTAAGTGTGTCTTGACTAAATATATTTGCCCATGCTTACCAGCATTCATAGTTAAAAAGGGGAAACCATTCTGGGAGCAATACGAAACTTTCCAGCATCTTTTATTTGGGAAGTCAAGTGGAGACATGCTCAGAATTTTGAGACCATGTTGTGGATTGTTTTGCAAAATGATTGCCATGGGAGAAAGGCTTCTTTATTCACAAAATAACCATGGTAGCCAGCCCCAAAATACTAATTCATCTGAAGATGAAGACAGAAGGTATGGCAGAGGGGAAGTGCCCATTTTTATTTTCTGAGAATGATAGTAGTCTTCTTCAAACAGGTACTTTTCTGACCTTAAACTTTAAGTCTCATAATTCTTCAATCAGCATAACCATGGCTGATGGTCCAGAGAGTTGTAGTCTACAAAACCTGAGAGTATTAAGGCTGGGAAAAACTGATCTGTAGATCTTAGGTAGTATTCAGAACTGCTCTTGTAACTAAAAATTAAGCTAGACATCAATGTTTTCATTTTCAGGATGCCATCTTCTTGTTTAACTTTTAAAAAATCAAAAAGTTTTCTTTTTAAAAGGAGGTGAGGTTTCTATGTGCTTCAAGAACTTTATCTACAAATTTTCTGTCTTTCTGCCCATACTTACTCAAGTTCCACTGAGTTTAATAAGAACCTGGGAACTAGGTGCAAGACTGCAGCCTCAATAAATGACAAAAAACTCATAAAAAATAACTATCCATGAGAGGGATTGTTAGAGATAGGGAGAAGATGGCCTAACTTGTAAGTTCCTTGACCATATTAAAACACTGATTACCGTGCTGTGTGTGGTATCTGCACTACGAAGGTAGGGGCATGGCCCGGAGCAAAAGTTAGCAAAGTACCCCTTTGGCTCATGCACCCATTTCCAGCCCAGATCTTGACGAAAATCAATGTAGAGACGACGTACACAGCAGTTCTCCTCCAGGTTCCTAGAACAAAAGGAAGCTGATATTAAATACACTCAAATCATTTATTCAAATTCAATAATGTATTAAATTCAAGAGCAGCACTTCCCTAGAAAAATATGAATGTAATTTAGAGATCCTAATCATGAATTCTCAGCTCCTGCTCAAAGACCAGGCAGCAGATGTAGCCAAGCGAGCCTTTGCACAAATCCATCCCTGGATCAGAAGGCCCAGCTGACGGTCACTCGTTCTTTGTTACCTACTCTCTGGATTACTGAAATGTGCTCTTCATGAAGATGCCCTTAAGGACCACTCGGAAGCTGCAACTCTTCTGGAATGCAGCAGGATGGTAATTGGAGTCCCACCTCAGCACGCTCATGTAATAACGCAGCTCCATAAGTAGTATTGGCTTCCAGTAAACTGCCAGGTGCCATTTAAGGTTTGTTATCACCTATAAAGCCTTTCTTGGCATAGGGCTCTCCAGTTATTTCTGCCACAAGATCCAAGAGGATGAGCATACTTTTAAGTTCCTTCTATGAAAAGGCCTGCATTTTCTGTCACTGTATCTGCCCCATGAAGCACCATGTTCTTCAACATTTAGATGGTCCTCATCTTTCTGGCCTTTCATAAAACATTCAAGACCTCCCATTTCTCATACTGTGGCCAAGGACACTGGGGAAGCCTATTGTAAAAAGGTTTAATTCTGCAGATATGTGAGTGGAGATTGTGTATTTTTGTTTTTTGTTTTGCTGTTTTTAGTCTTTTGCTTTAAAGAAATGTGGGCACCTGCATTAACACTGAGTTATACAACCTAAACTGACTGACTGACTGATTGACTCACTCACTCATAACAGAGAGTTTGACAACCACCATCATGGAACATACCTATTTGCACAAGAAGATAATCCAGAAAAAAATGTGTCAGTGCCTGGTTAAGGTTTGAAGTTTTTTTTTAATTGAGCAAAATTGCAAGAAGGAGAAAATAGTAAATATACTAGGCCCTCTTCCTCTCCAGTTTTTGTTACTATGAAAGTTCATTAATGACAGAAATGAAGAAGAGGATGAAAATCAGGTTGAAAAGAAAAGGCTGTTTCTTTTAATGGGGGGGGGAGGGGACAGGGAAGCTGCTATAAATATTTCAAAGCAGTCATAGTGATTAGCTATAGCTTTGTAGAGAAAACAAACCTTGGGGCTGCCCTACATAAGTGACAGAAGATTCAGGGGCACATTACTTTTTTAGCTGAATAGCAGGTTTTCCAAGCTAATATTGTTGTTAACCGACTATGATACTATTATAGTTGGTGCTATGATGAGTAAATAAATACATGATCCCAGAATGCTGCTGAACAGAGTAAGGGAATTATGAACAATGGATGAAACATGTTTCTCAGCTCCACTTGTGTTATATCTCTTTATATTACATTCTAAAAGACAGTTTGGGAAGAAGCAGGATGAAAAGGGTTGAGTCTATATATAATCCTTTAATCCATGCAGCTCATCTGTTTCCCTGACTCCATGCTTTGGACACCTGCTCTAACAACAATCCTGAGACTTCAGTAAAGCAGGCCTGCATCTATCAAGCTAAATGTAGCCCACCAATTATGTGAAAGAACTCACACAAAAAGTTCAGCTTATTCTGAGTCTTACTGAACCTATTTGGTTCCTGATATCACTGGGAATGCATAATTTTAAATGGGTGTCAAACTGCCGGCCTGCGGGCCAGATGCATCATCCGGAAGCTGTGCCCACCCCATTGCCAGCAATGGCAAAACCGTCCCGATACATTGTGTGACGTCATGTGACATCGTGAGTTTGACATGTTTGATTTAAAAGAATATTTCTCTCCTTTCTATCAATGTCTCCACGGTTCCTGGTTTCTTGCATCTAGTATGTTAGTATGGTTGTAATCCAGACAGTACATATCAGGTTTGGGCTACAAAGAAATATACTTTCCAAGTGCTGATGACACCTGCCTCATATCTATAGCAAGATGGAATAGCTTGGAGTTTTTGCTTCCTCTGGTTCTGGAAGGATGTCATCTTCAACTCTCGATGGGCTAGCACTCCCCCAAATAGAGCAGATGTGCAATTTGGGATGGCCTCCTGGACCTGCAACTCCTGCTTGAGGAAGGTGACAGCCATGGGTGGGGTTGGGGAGCTTTTATAAGATCGATCTTGGTCCCATTCCTTGACTTACTTGTAGTCACTCATGCCTTGGTTAGTCCCCAGCTTGATTATTACAGAGCACTCTACATAGGGTTTCCTTGAAAACTGGATATTGCAATTGGTTCAGAATGCAGTGGTGTTTGAGGCACCATTCACTTTGCCCATATTAGACCACTGTTGTGCAAGTTGTTCTACCTTCCAGTTTCTTTCTGGGTAAATTTCAAGGTGATTGTCACCTCTAAAGCCCTATATGGCATGAGGCCAGGTTATCTCTCCAAGGATATTTACCTGCTGCACCAGGCTGGATAGGGTGGGCATTTTACAGGTCCTTTCTCTCAAATGTTGTCATCTAACAGGACCCAGGAAGCGTGCCTTCTCAACAGAGGATCCCACCTCTCCCTGAGATGTCTCAGGCACCACCTGTTTGACCTTCCAGAAGATCTTAAACAGATGGCTTTTCCTCCAGGCATTGGGATAAGGTGAAGCTGGACCCTAATGGTAGGTGTGTGGGTGGGTGGGTGGGGGTGTTAGATATTGTTTTTAATTGTTTTCTTTTCCACTACAGTGAATCAAATAAACAAACATGCAAAAGAAAGAGAGAATTTGCCTTCTCTTTTTCTAAAGGGATGACCTGATTCTTCCTACTCAATTTCTCTTCTCTCAGCCAGAGAATAGGTTTCTGATACTAATTTCACATTTAAAGTGAGGATTAATAGATTGTAAAGATTTATAGCTGATAAGGGATTATAGTTCTCAGAGACAGTACTTAACCAGTGTGGTTAATCAGTTGGACTTAACTATAAACTTCAAAATTATCCAAAGTCATCCCAATGTTGCTTTCAAGAGCACTTTTTGCCAGAGAGATGGTTAATCTCTAGGGCAGGGGTAGGCAACCTTGGCTCTTTTATGACTCGTGGACTTCAACTCCCAGAATTCCTGAGCCAGCATGGCTGACTCAGGAATTCTGGGAGTTGAAGTCCATGAGTCATAAAGAGCCAAAGTTGCCTACCCCTGCTCTAGGGGGAGGTAGGTTCAGGAATCTTAGCTTACCGAAAGCAGTAACTGGTGTCCAGTGCTCGTTTCTTTCTCTGGCTTCTCACAGCTGAACTCCCAAGACGATGTGGCGGCAGCATCATCAATATCAGGTGGGGGTTTTGCAGATCTTTTTGCTTCTTCAGGCTCCCCAAGTCCCCACGACCATGGCTTTCTTCACCGTCTATCCCTGAGAAGTGTGGGCAAAAGGGAGAGATCAAATCTCATAGTTGCTTTAGAACTGCATTAGGAAATCTTGGAATCCATAAAACTATCTTTTGTAAGGACTGTGGCTTTATCAGAATAAATAAATCTAACAGAAAATCCTGAAAGCCATTTGTTTTATAATTTGCAGACTGATGATGGAGATCATTTTAATCTATCCTTTGATATTGCAGTCAGTTCCTGAATAGGCCAGAAGAGATAAATTACTTAATGATGGATGACATCTGATAACTGGAACTGAACAACAGAAAAAAATGTCTGAGATACAAAATTCATGAATACTATTCACAGGGCAAGGTCCAAAGCCAAGCACTTCCTAATACTGAGATTACAAGTTGTTGGCTCCCTATGGTACTACAAACCATTGCTAATCTCTGTGCCCACACATTACACAGCAGAGATGAGTTTTTGAAGGGATGGATGTAAACAGATTTACAAAATTGTATATTTAACTTAGTAACACGGGTAATATCTATAATACTTAGCAGTTTTATGCCAGTTCAACCATCATAGGTTTCCCCCAATGTTTTGTGAAAGCATTGAGAATTCTCTTAAGAGATGCCAGTTCGAAATACAAAGCTTAGAGATCTTGAAAAGAGGATTGCTGTTAAGGTCATCTGTAAGGATACAAGTGTTCTCTCTCTCTCTCTCTCTCTCTCTCTCTCTCTCATGTAAATAAATAAACAAATATCTGACAATTGCTTATAGAGAAGCACATATACACACACTGTTATGTAATGTAATACGATTAGGCCATGAATGCAATAACAATGTTCAAAGTTAGGTGAGTTATTTTACTTTCTCCTCCAGTTTCATTTCTGTCACCTTTGAATTTGATCTCCAGCACCTCATGCAGATTCTCCAGAATGTCACCATTGGATTGAAAAGTGTTACATGGGCAATGGACACTAATCTCCAGTCCCAGATTAGATTCTGTAAGAAAATGAATTTTTAAAAAACCCTTACCAATCAATACTCTTGAAAGCAAATAATGATTCAGCAATTTCCATTTTCCCCCCATTAATAAAATTTGTTAAGAGTGGAGGTCCTTGTATATGTTTTTTGTCTTTGTATTGTTTTGTTTTTTTCCTTCTTTTTTGTAAAACTTATAAAACTTTTAATAAAAAAAAAAAAGAGTGGAGGTCCTGAACTCATGTTCTCTCAGGATTACAAAAGACTGGAAGGAGAGACTGAACTATATATGTGCAAATCGTACCAGATTCTGACCAGTAGTAGCTCCATATTGAATTTTCTGTCCTGTTCTGGATGGCTAATCTGAAATTATCTCAACCTTCAACAAAAACAAGTTGTATATAATGTATTATGATGATGTTTGGGAGCAGATGAGGAATGACCAGTGGATAGGCTGGACTGACTTATCAACTTTTGACAGGAATCTTAATGGGTTTTGCCATAATAGTTTGAACCTTAAGTATAAGATAATTTTGAGTTCCTCAAAGAAATTAGCAAGTCCTCATTATTTTATTATAGGGCTATTGGTTAAAAAAAAGGATTTGCCTGAATGATGTGAATAAAATTCTAGAGATCAGTGACACCCAATTTCAAGATTTCCATACTTCAATTGTTTGGATGGAGCAATACCACAGCAATCAGTAAATCTTTCTTCCAAATAAATAGAGAGGTGGCTGTTGTATTTTTATTCAATACTATACCTTTTCCCAACCACATTCTATAAATAAAACAATTAAGTAACTTTCCTGTTGGAGGTCTAAACCACTAAACCCAAAATCCAGCAAGAAAAGACCTTCTGTACTACAATTAGGATTTATATGGGAAATGAATATTCCAAGTTTACATATAATATTTGGACACTGCTTTGCATTTACCGTATTTTCCGGCGTATAAGACGACTCGGCGTATAAGACGACCCCCAACTTCGGAGAAGATTTGCATGGTTTAGAAAGTCGTCTTATACGCTGGAAAATACGGTAACTGTCATAGAATCTGAACATTCTTGGCAGAATTATTGGAGATAGGAAACAGGAGAGTAACAAGCATATCCCTCGTAGGCAGAGATTGCTATCTGTGGCCAAAAGCGTAGTCTGAGGCTCAAGACTGAATTTTAGCACCTGTCTAGTTTTTTAAGCTAGCTGCAGCTGCTGAATCTCATAGCCTGTGTTTTGTTCTATTCTTCTTTGCTGAGCGCTAATCTCTGTAGCAACTGCTGTGTTGCATTAAGCTATAAGGCTCCAGGGTAGGACTTTGTCAATTTGTATCTCTCAGTGTTACTACCACTACGACTTAGAAGAAAAGATCTCCTGAATTTGGGCATACCAACAAGTCAGGCACATGATCACTATCCTGCTAAATCATTCTCCTGTATCTCAATTTTGGCTGCTGCCCAGATGCTAATGTTCCTGTGAACCTCAGCAACCAAGAAACTAATTTGTAAATCATGGTATGATGTGTTTCTCATTACTAAGTATATAAGAAAAAAACTCCATATAAAAACAATACCAGAATCAATTCATACCAGACTTCTCCAATCTGGAATTTCCCAGTGTATTGGACTTAACTCTTATTGGCCATGATAGAAATTGCTGTCCAATACCTATGGATCCTATTAAGTGAGAAAGGCTGGTTTCCTATATGCCTCTAAGCAGGCACATGCAACTTGCTAACACAGAGGAAACTTACTTTACGTGCCACTCACCTCTATGCAAAAGCCATTCACGGACAGTCTCTGTGACGTCAAAGGACAGCCATTCAGGAGAGCCCCGTGTCAGTACATTTCGGCCACTTAGGTACCGCTGCTTTGCAATATGCTCATCAGGTTTCAGGATCTACAGAAGCAGATGGCACAAGGCATTGTTTAGTTCACAGTTACTGGGTTTCCTTTGATAAGATCAACTCTTCTGGGTAAGAATGGTTGAGTTATTGTTTTTTACCTCTGGTTTTCTATAATATGTAATATGTCTAATGTGATTTATCCGAGCAATTTTTAGCCATGCCTCCCAAAGGAAGAATTGAGTATGACAGGAAAGCATGGACATAAAAACTGACATAGGGGATGAAGTTACAGACTGAAATTAAGAGTTAAGTCCAATGATTGTGCCCATGGTTTCACTAGAAAACTACTTGTCAGAACCATATTCCAATTCTCCTGACTATGAAAGATGCTTATGGTTCCACGTGGAGGGCTTAGCTTCTCATATACTACTATTGCTATGAATTCTTAGAACAATAGTAGCCTAGATACCTAAATTGCTTTATATCTTCCTGGAAGCAGCTCTGTGTAAGCACTGGCCATGAACTGAAAGAAAGCATAGACAAAAGCTATGGTTCAAAGGATTAATATTTTTCAAAATTATTAGTAAGGGATCTAGCTTTCAAATCCATATCTTCCATTCAATAGTGCTGTGAATAAGCACAGTGCTCAGAAATGATTTCTGATACAGCAATCCCATTTGATATTTTCTCACTTCTCAATCTGGATTACAACAGTGGAGAACTAAGATAATGTAAGTGACTAACAGTGTGATCTTTCACTTCTACTTAGGAGTATATCTATTTGTTTATATTTATTTGGTTGTTTAGAGGGCTGCCCAAATCCTAAGTAACTCTAAGAGACATACAACTAAAAATCAATTCATCGAACAGCAAATACTAAAGAAAAGTACAAAAACAAAACAAAACAAAGCCCCAAAGGAGGCTTCACGATCATCTTGTCCCCAGATTTGAGAAAACAACTGAATCTTCAAAATTTCCTGAATGACATTTAAGACGGAGTCATAAGAGGGAATCTTTGGGGGGGGGGGAGGGAAACCTTTATTCAGTAGGCCTTTCTCCCAGATATATAGGCATATTCTACAATGCAGATATCAAATTAGTGGATAGCATCTGTATTTTAGGATCAAACATTAGAAACAAGCAGTCAAGAAATACACTGCAGGCTAGTATTTAGTAGAGCAGCCACACCAGTCTTGGAAAAGATATTCAAATGTCATGTTGTTTCTATACCTACAAAGAGCAGACTAACACAATCCATGTGCCTATGACACTCTGTGGAAGAGAAAGTTGGACTTTGAAGAAACAGGATAAGAAGAATATTTATGCTATTGGACTGTGGTAGTAGTAGAAAAGACTTCTGAGAATACCATGGATAGCCATGAGAGCAAACAAATGGATAATCAACAAATCAACCCAGATTCTCATTCAAGGATAAATGACTAGACTTAAATTATCCTATTCTGCCACATTATATACAGCCTTTGAAAAAGGCTGTAATGCTGGGAAAGGTAGAAGGAAAGGAAAGAAGACCAGCAGCAAAATGGATAGACTCAGTTACAACAGCAATGAGTGTATTATTGGAAGACTCGAAGGACCAGGTTAGGGACAGATCATCATGGACAAAATCTATTATGTGTTCGCTAAGAGTCAACAACAACTTGATGGCATGTAATCATTCAAATAGGAATCAGGATTGCATTATGCTATACTGAATCAAATGGATTTCCTTGATTTAAATGGAGAGCTTTCGAGGTACCCTTATGCAAAGTATTTATTTTTTGTTGCCAGATTATAATCACTAAAAGATCTAAAGGAGGGGAGTTATCCAACTAGAGGACAATCAGTTAACATGATTAAGGGATAGACAAGGTCATGGCTCAAATGCTGATCACTGCACACTTGCTGCTGCATGCCCTGTCTGTCCCCTGCTCACTATGTTCCTGGGATGGCCACAGAGAAGTAGGTGGCTCAACAGGATGACACCAAGTCTGTCTTCAGTTTGCAAGGGAAAGATGGACTGGTGTTTGACAATGCAATGAAAGGTGTCTTCTTCACCCAATAACCATCCCTGCCAGTCTGCTTCTTTTATCCAACACCTGCTCTATATGTTCCTTATTCACAGAGTGATCTGCCTATGGGCTTCTCCCCATAGAAGATTCACTACTATTCCCTTGGTTTGGTCTAAAGTCAGTGGCGGGATTCAGCCAGTTCACACCAGTTCGGCAGAACCCGTAGCTAATTCTTTGTTGACCAGGCCCAGAATGGACTTCTGGAAGTGGAATCCACACAAAGAACCGGTTGTTCACATATTTGAATCCCACCATTGTCTAAAGTTACAACGCCAAGAGCAAATCATCCATTCTCAGGCCAGCAGAGCAAAGTTCTAGAGCCATTTGCACAAAATAAGGAAAGACAAACTCTCTTGACTTCGAAGAAAAAAAGAATCAATTATTTTCTACAAACCAGACCAGATTAGTTGGATCACACCCTTGGCCTGTCCCTCTCCTTTAAATGTTAGTTATTGTTGTTTTTATTTCAAAGAACAATTTGTTTATATGATAATAATAGAAAATGGCAGTGATCTAACCAGTAGCTCAAAAAAATAAGAGGCAAGATGGTAGCCACAATTGTGTTGAATGCCGCTAACTTGATTACCGTATATTCCCTCCCTCACCCCAATGGAGTTCCCTTGTAAGAAATTAATATGCTTCCTCCTTCCAATTATTTTGCCATAGGCAGCATTGTCAGATGAACAATTTCTAGGCACTTTTAAAAATGCCGTTAAATAAATATTTTTAATATCTAATCCAATTGTCCCAAAGGTACTCTTCAAAAGTTAACTGGACTTTCTTGGGTTTTTCCTTGAAAATGTTTCATTTCTCAAGAAGCTTCTTTGTCCAACAGCTATATTTTAACTTTTAAGTGTTTTAATTTTTGATAATTTTGCCTTATTTATTTATTTTTATTAACATATAAATCTCAATTGCTGTGTTTAGCAAGGACCAAGAAGCAAGGATCCCACTTGAATGTGTCTTCCAACTTCTTGCCAGTTTTCCCATTGAGTGCTTATGGGGAGCCAGCAGAGAATGTCAGAAATTGAGATCACATAACTAACTCACTGCAATGGACAGAATCCCAAGGACCCATTATAAATCCTCTCCCTCAGTGCTGTTGCAAGTTTGAACAGTCACTGGATAAGTGGTCATAATCTGAAGAGAATATACATACTATGTACACATACATTAATTCACAATACAATACAATGGAGAACTTAATTTTAAGTAATTAGTTCAAAATGAAGCTGTCCTATAATTAATACTTCGATGTGAATTGCAGTGATTCTTTTTTTTAGCCTTACATAATACTCAACTTTATATTTGTAACCCTGGCATACTAAATGATAATACTGATAACATTTTATTTTATGGGTTTTTTACTATTTTAAACTTTTAAAATAATAGAATGTTAATAATTTTTAATCATATTGTATAAAGGTTATTCCACTGAAATCTACATTAAAATTATACAAGATTATACAAGATCAAGATTTATAACATTACAATAAAAAGTAAATTATTTTAGGTTACCAGCACTTAGATTCATATTAAACCTTCCTTGAACCTATAATTATGCTTTATAGTTTGTTTGTTTTTTCATTCTAGGGTTCCTAGGCTTTATCTTCTCTGCTCTCACATTTTGTATAATCCTATTCTAAAGTATTACTGATACACACACAAACACACACACACACACACACATACACACACACACACACACACACACACACACACACTAAGCCCTTGGAATATTCAAGGAAAGTGCACTATGTTATTAGTGCCTACAAAGTATCTATTAAAGGCACCACAGTCTTTGCTATGAATGTTACGGTTGGTTAGTTGGCATCGGTTCCTGTTCCTGATGTGAAGTAGGGGAGGGCAAGTTGTGGCAGACAAGTAGAGTGATAGGTTTGGCTTTGTTTAGAACTTGATCTTGGGGGAAGGGAAATTTACAGAAGGGAAGAAGGAGCAATCCTCTCCTCTCTTCTCCTCTCCTGATTTACCAGAAACCCCTAGGCCATGTATCTCCCCACCCAATAATATTCTTGCTTTCCACACACACAATGCAAACTGTCCACAGAACCTGCAAGGGGGCATTGCCTGGAAGGGGAGAACTCTTTCATACCAGCCAGTTATCCATCGACATATCATAGGACTATCCATGAGATTCCCCCACGTGGTGCATTGGCATCCACGCTAGATAGTTGTGCATGGGATGATCATGGGGGCTGCTACCAGCAGGTGGGGGGAGGGGTGCTGGGATTTGAAACATTTCCACATCCTGGCAGAAGCAGTTAGCAGCTGTGCTGGCATTGTACAGTGAAAAACTGAGGGGAGGGGACCATGCCCATACCAGTCCAAAGTGGCCAATAGTTGCTGGAATGATCCCTTTGCTTTGCATCATTAACTTAGTATGAGCCAAAGTACTAAGTAAGTGCAAATAGCCTGGTTTCCACGGGAAGGTGGAAAACCCACATTCATTCTCAGTTTAAAAAAAAACCTGACATCAACTGGTTTGGGCTATGGACTAGGATTGAGAAGGCTGCATTAGGTGTGTGATCTTTCAAAATGGTTATCCAGCCATTTTCAAGATGAATATAGGAGGATGTAACAAAGGAGAAGAGAAATCACTCTCTAGGTTTGCACTGCTGGGTAATAGATAGCATGGTTATTGATTTATTTGGCATAGAATCCAAGCACATAACATGCCTTGTCTATAAAAGGATGAGATGGATTTCCAAATGCTAAGACAACCGTAGCCTTGCTCATTCTCCCTTCATCACATCCCTGCCTTCCGTAGGTAGGGGGGAACCCTACTGGAAAACAAAGCTTTTTTTTAATGGATTAGACACAAGGGAGGAAAGGTTAGTATAGACAGTCCTCAACTTACCACCACAATGGAGCCCAAAATTTATGTTGCTAAGCGAGAAACTTGTTAAGTGAATTTTGACCCATTTTACAATTTTTCTTGCTACATTTGTTAAATGAATCACTACAATTGTTAAATTAGTAACACGGTTGTTCAGTGAATCTGGTTTCCCCATTGACTTTGCTCGTGAGAAGGTTGAAAAGTGGATCACATGACCCTGGGACACTGCAACTGACAAAAATGTGAATCAGTTGTCAAGTATCCAAACGTAAATCACATGACCCTGAGGATGCTGCAACGGTCATAAGTGTGAAAAATGGTGATAAGTCCCTTTTAACAGTGCCGTCGCTCACTAAGCAAACTGTTGTAAGTCGAGGATTACCATGAGTACCTGTATTCATGGACCGGGGTGTAGTGGAGGGGGAAATGGGGGAATTGGAAAGAAAGCAAAAATGTCCACTAGAAACAGGAGCTCCTACACTGAGGTACCCTGGAGGCCCTGCTAGGAAGTGGGATTACCTGAAAGAGTTCAATACGCTGTTCCGAACGTTTGGAGCTGAGATTTGGCAAGCGAAGGACCCGAAACTCTGCCCGGAAGAGGCTGGTGATGTTTGTCTCTGCTGAAGACACGTTGAAGCGGAACATGTTGGAAGTTACTCCTTTGGGGCACAGCGGCAGCTCATCTAAGAGAAAATGACAAATGAGCTAGAAGGGCATTGAGGAGGGAGATCATAATCCAACCAGGATTGAAAGCATTTCGTTTATTTATTTATTAAATATATATACTGCCCATCTCACAGTTTGAGATGACTATATCTACCAGTAGGTACAAGAATTGAGGCAGAGTTAACCCCTGGCTAAATGGAAATGATTCGCCTAAGTTGAAAAAAAATCCCCCATCTCTTCCAAAATGAATGTGGTACGTACATAGTGGCTCACCTGAAGATTGTTGAATTGTTCAATTAAAAAATGCTAAATTAAAATGACTCAATAAAATGTATTACTTGATTCCTGGGAGTACTTTCTACCCAGATGCTGTTTCTTAGACAGATTAAAACATTTAAGAGCAGAAGAAACATTGGCCTAGTTCAGGAGTAGGCAAACTTGGCTCTTTTATGACTCGTGGACTTCAACTCCCAGAATTCCTGAGCAAGCTGTGCTGGCTCAGGAATTCTGGGAGTTGAAGTCCAAGAGTTATAAAAGAGCCAAGGTTGCCTACTCCTGGCCTAGTTAGTATGAATCAGTGTTGGTTACCTTCAAATATCCATCTTTTAATGATTCATCTTCTAAGCTTATTAATAATTTGGTCCTATATATTCAGGACAAGGAACAATCTTAAACTGAGTAACGAACAAATGTTTAAAGTCACTGTAAAGGATAAATCAGCAAAAACTGGCCTATCAAAATCCAAAAAATTATTTTAAAAACACATTGTTTTCAAACTGGTTCTCACCTAAACCTACCAGGAAATTAGTAATTTGGTAATTGTTTTTACGATTAAAGATTCACAAGTCAATTTCTCAAACAAACAAACAAATAAATAAATATCAAAACCCAGCAGAAAATCAAAAGCCCCTTATTCAGTAGTTTTGCCATCAAATTTTGTTGGTGCAATCTTGAGGAAGCCCTTGGACAACAGATGACATATAATATTTGGCAGGCCCCCTTTTTCCATGACTAGTCATAGAACAGATGTACAGTATTAACACATTTTTAAAAACCCTACATTGCACATATTTTGGTCTCTATTGCAATTCTTGTATGTCCCTCACCTCAAAAATGGTAGGAAGCTCAAAATTAGTGATATGATCAGAGGGGACTCTGAGGGCTCTAGGTTATCCCCTCTTGATCTATGTTATCAAAAGCTCCTGAAAAGTCCAAGAAAATCAACTCCCAGTAGAAATAATTCATCAAGACCACTGGAATGGATTTAATGCCAATTCATAGGTCATGTTTAGATTGAAATAGGTTACATTAATCTTTGTTGCTTTTTCACGAGGTAACTTGTTTTTCTTTTAAGACATTTTGCTTCTCATCCAAGAAGCTTCTTCAGCTCTGACTGGATGGTGGGGAATGGAAATCCTGCAGACAGCTAGTCATTTGCATTCTTTTAGAGAGTCGTGGAGGCTTATCTGTGTCTCCAGGGTCTCCCGAGTAGTGCAAATGGGTGTAGAGCCTTCTTGGAACTGTTGAAAGGACTGTGTTGTAGACTGGAGATAGATAATGTCCTATCCCTCCCCTTCTGTTGAGAGAGGGCTGTTCAGTTTTGACATAGATGGCCTCTTTGACCCTCTTTCAAACCAGCAGTCCTCTCTGTCCAAAATGTGGACTTTGCTATCTTCGAAAGAGTGGCCTTTGTCTTTTAAATGTAGATGGACTGCTGACTCTTGTCCTGATGGGTTTATTCTCCTATGTTGTGCCATACTTTTATGAAGTTGTTGTTTTGTTTCCCCAATGTACAGATCTGCACATGGCTCACTGCATTGTACTGCATATACCACGTTGCTCAGTTTGTGCCTGGGTTCCTTATCCTTGGGGTGGACAAGCTTCTGCCTTAGTGTATTCTTCGGTTTGAAATGTGCATGTATGTTGTGTTAGTTGAAAATCCTCCTGAGCTTTTCCGATATTCCTGCAATGTATGGAATAACTACGTTGCTTTGTTTATTGTTTTCTTCATCTGTTATGGAGGAGCTCCTGCTAGGTCTTTTTTTAAGATTTGATGAAGGCCCACTTGGGATAGCCACACGTTCTGAGGGCTTTGATTTCTTTTTTTGTTTGATTTCTTTTTTCTTTTCTTTCTTTGGTGGTAGGCAGCCTTCAGCTCTGTGGTGTAGGGTTCTCATAACGCCTATTTTATGCTCCAGTGGGTGGTGTGAATCAAAATGTAAATATTGATCTGTGTGATTGGGTTTTCTGTAAATTTCAATGTTAAGGCTTCTGTCTTCCTTAATGTATACAGCACAGTCCAGGAAGGCTAGACTATTTTCCTTAATATCTTCAGGGGTGAATTTGATGTATCTGTCCATCGAGTTGATATGTTTGGTGAACGTTTCCAATTCTTGTATTTTGATCTTGACCCAAGTATCATTGACATACCTATACCAGTGAGTGGGTAGAATTCCTGTGAAGGAGTTTAGGGCTTTGGTTTCTACCTCTTCCATGTAGAGATTGGCCACAATGGGGGGACACAGGTGAGCCCATGGCGCAGCCATGTTTTTGTCTGTAGAAACCTTCACTGTATTGAAAATAGGTAGTGGTCAGGCAGAGGTCTAGCATAGCACATATGTGGTCTGGGCTAAAGTCAGTTCTGTCACCTAGGATTCTGTCTTGTAGAAAACGTTTTTTCACTACCATGACAGCTTCAATTGTTGGGATGCAAGTGAAGAGTGAAGTAACATCATAGTAAACCATGGTCTCATCTGAGTCCAGTTTTATTTTCCAGATCTTGCTGGCAAAGTCATGTGAAATATTGATGAGATGAGCGGTGTTACCAACTAGAGGAACTTGTATGGTAGTTAGATATTTTGCAATGTTGTAGATGACCAAGTTGATGCTGCTAACTATTGGTCTGAGTGGTGTTCCTTCTTTGTGGATTTTGGGGAGTCCATATATGCATGTCATGGCTTCCCCAGCTTAAAGATGGTAGTATTGTGGCTTGTCGATGGCATTATCCTTTAGTAATTGTTACAAGAAATCAATGACCTTTTTTTTGTAACTGCTGGTGGGATCTCTCTTCAGAGTCTTGTATGTGGCAGTGTCCTTCAGAAGACTGTTCATCTTGGCCTTCTAGTAATCTGTGTTCAGGATGACTGTGCATCAAAGAGGCCATCTATGTCAACATTGAACAGCCCTTTCTCAACAGAGGGGGAGGGATCCGACATCATCTATCTCCAGTCTACAACACAGTCCTTTCAGCAGTTCCAAGAAGGCTCTATACCCATTTGCACTACTCAGATGACTCTGATGACACAGATAATCCTCCAGGTAGCTTTAATGACTCTCTAAAAGAATGCAAATGACCATCTACCTGCAGGAGTATAAATCTTTCCATTGCCCACCATCCAGTCAGAGCTGAAGAAGCTTCTTGGATGAGAAGAGAAATGTCTTCAAAGAAAAACAAAAAAGTCCAGTTGCCTCGTGAAAAAGCATCTTTGGGATAACTATGACCTGGATGACTGAGAATCCCCACAGACGTTAATCTTCGTCAGCCCCAAGTGCTTCCTTATATATCCTAGTTGCTGTGCTTCGTTTTCTTCCTCTGTCTCCTCTATAGAGGCTTTGGTATTTTTCACAGAAGTTGACTTCACACCTTAAGCCAAAAAAGCGGATCACCAGGAGAGGGCTAGATGGAGTTTTTAATTCCTCAACTCCTTGCCCACACACACAGACTACTCCCCCAAGCCCCAAAACATAGCACTCCCTGCTGCTTTTGACAAGAAACAAAGATGTACTTCCCAGTACTCTGGGAAGCCTGCCACATGGCTTCATGTGGATAGGAGCCACTGGATTTTTTTTTTTTTTTGGACATATACACTCCTGTCCTAGAGATGACATGTTGGGGAAGCAGGGAGTGCAAGTGCAAGGATCTACTTCGCCTGTCATCATTTGGAACCAGGATGTGGGACTGTCTGCTTTTCTATCAGAGCGAAAACGCTCCTCCTTCTGCTATCTTGTTTCCTCCGCAGGGCTAAAGTCCTGGAACAAGATAAATACTTTCAGCTATCTGGTGAACAGTTTGGAGCCAGGGCTATTTCCTGTGTGTGCCGTTTGGAATTGTCTGTATCAGCACTGAAACCTCAATGGAATAAGACTTGCCCCACTTCCTCGGGTGGCGGGCGGGGGTCGGGGGGAGGAGAATGGGTTTGGCTCTATGTTTGTTCTGAATCACCACCTGGCAGAGAGACAAAGCCAGGAAGAAGTTGAATACTGGCCACTTTTGAAGACATGGGACCAAATCCATCATCCAGGCAAGGGAGGAAAATGGCACAGATTTCAACAAGGCAGGTCTCTGCTTTCACCAGGGTTAAATTGCACTCTTACTTTCTTCATCATGATCTAACTTCAAGGGTGTCTCTTGGAATACAAATTGTTTGATCCCAGGAGACAAGTCAAAACAACACTTCCTCCCGGAGAGTACATAGCTCAACTTCTCACTGTAAGCAAGACCCTACCTGGTTGAGTCTGGGTTAATGTCAGCAAACCTCTGCTCTTACTACCTTTATCTTGGCCTGAAGTTTCTCTCCCTGCCTATATACGCTGACTTTGCATCCTGAATAAACTCACACAGGTCTTGGGTTAACTTTCTTTCCAAGACATACTTCAAATCAAATATGATTTTCCCTACTGTAGAATAGAGAGCTTTTGGGAGGTTGGGCCATATTTGGGATTTTAGAAGTATTTTGTAATAACTTTCACAAAATAGTTATTCATAACACAACTGCCAGAGTGATATGGGAAATCACAAATCCCCTGTTAAGTAGAGGTTATATTGTTGTGTTGTTCCTGACATTCCCTTAGCAGCATCCAGGATATCTCTATTATCCAACTGGACTGCAGGCATTCACTACTTTGGTTGTGTAAGAACATCCACAGTTCCCTCTTCCGATCAACAAAATGTAACTCATCATTCTTCTTTGACTAAAGCTAAATCATTAACAATGTTGACTGCTTTCCCTTTCTCTGTACCTTAAGATGGGCTTCTGACAATTGTTGCTATTGGCACAGATCATATATTTTTATGAAACGGTTTATGTCAAATTAAAACATGGAGACATTTGCATCATCATCTCATCATTTATTGCAGCTTGGTAGACATAGGAATCCCAAAGGTCATTCGTGGATTATTTTTTTCCAGTTGCAATTTTGAAAACTTGTGAAAGGTATGTGTTATATCCATTAATTGTTTTGCTGTCTCTTATGTACAGCTTTGCAAGTTTCCACCAAATTCCTTGCCAATTTGTACCAAGGAACAGAAGAAACAGAACATATAGGCAAAATATGCTATTTCCCAAATAATATTTCAAGCAACTCTTCCTTGTGTTTTCATTTATCTCCTGCATAACGACATTTGTTCAGATAGTTTCTCTATGGATCAGGAAAAGAATTGAGTAAGTAACTAGAAAGTGCCAACTTTACTGAACTAAAACTCCTATGATCCCATTTAATATAACCATATTGGCTAAGGGTGGGGAAGGTATCTTTTTATCCTTTAAGAGGTACTTGTTCAGGGAAATGTGCCTCAAAATATGACTACACAAGGAGATGTGAATGGGGCAAAATTTAAAAGGTGGTGGCAAGCTTCAAGCAATATCTTCTGTTAAAGAGTTTGTTGATTGATTACTTTCAATAATTGGATCCTCCCCATACCTTCCAAATAGGGCCCTCTTTCAGCTAAGATTGATGTAATCTAAGTCAACACAGGAACAATAAAAGCAACTGCAGTGGTTTTCACTGCAAGCAACTCAGTAAGTTGGCTGAATTGAGTAAATTATAGAGGCATCTTGTTCTACTGGTTACTTCTTTTTCAGAACAGAATATGAAACATTTCAATTAAATGTGGGGGTGGGTTAGTTATATTTGTAACTAAACTCAAATACCGAATAATTCCATAATCCTTCTATGATGTTCTTAACATAAATCCATATTGGTTAAGCAATGAACCCATGAAATTTCTCTCACTGTGGAAAAATGAGGCAAGGATATCTGTATGCCAAAGTCTAGGTCCGTGGTGGCGAACCTATGGCACGGGTGCCAGAGGCGGCACTCAGAGCCCTCTCTGTGGGCACCTGCGCCGTTACCCCAGTCCTTGGCGTTCAGCTGGGTTTTATAAAACCTTTTCGCTTTAGGCCTCTGCCACCATGTGCAAAAAAAAAAAAAAGTTCAATCAGTCAATTTCAACTTCTCGCAGGTAAAAAAAAGATCTTGCAAAGTTGGAATTGATTGATTGAACTTTTTAGTCCCACCCAGTCTGCCGTTACCACTGCAGCCATGCCCAGCCAATGGGCCACGCCCAGCCAATGGGCCACACCCAGCCAATGGGCCACACCCACCCGGCACTCGATGATGCGTAAGTGGGTTTTGGGTTGCAGTTTGGGCACTCAGCTCTAAAAGATTCGCCATCACTGGTCTAGGTACTGCAATACTTTATTAACTCCTCTTTTGTTATTACACTACCACAGTGAAATGCTGAAACTCAGAAATTTAAATTTCATTTAGCTTCAGGGCATTTATTGTTTTTCAACTTCAGTGGCTCCATATTTCTACTATTTCATAGCAAGAGACAGCACAGATGTACAACATCTGTATCTTTGGGGTTTTTTGCCTTTGTGAAGACCACTCAGAATCCTCTTTTCCTCTGATTTGCTGTAATATCTGTTTTATTATGTATCATTTTCATAATGCCCTCAGCATTATGAAGAAGCTACTGTGCCATCTCTCTTATTTTGAATCTTACTCATGTCCACATTTTTCAACTTAATTAATTTCTTGAAGGGGAAATAATGTCATGATGTTAAAAAAACAACAACTCTGTTGGGATCCCTCACAAGAAAAGCCATTTTTTAAGGGTTGCTGCTCATAGGGGTACATAGGTTGACTTTCTAACTTAGATCCTTGTTGCCAGGGTAAGGACTATGCTTTCAGATATGACATTGAACCCAGTGCAAAGAAACCCAAGGCTCTGCATGGCATGGCACCAGCACCTTTTTGGTTTCCAACAACAGCGTGACTGCAAAACTATTATGTCCATCAAAATATAGAAGAAGGAGCTGGGGGATAAGGAATTTTTTTACAGTTTTGCAGAACTGGCAAAAGGTTTAAGTGGCTGAATGACCAAATTTTCCAAATATTTTCCTTACAGTTCCAACTCTGCTCCTGAGTGCAGGTTCAATAGTCATACTGATTGCTGATCATCGAATGATTTACTTCATTACATGCAAAGCAGAAACCAAATCTACCATGCCAGTTGTGGCTGAATGTACATTATGTATTCTCCGTAGGAGAAAGCTTCCCCAGCATCTGCAGTGATAGTCACATATGGAACATATTAATATATCTACTCTGTCCTTCAAAAATAATTTTGGCTTCAAAGCATCAGAACAACTCTTTGCTCCCTCAGTCTTGAAGTACGTTGCTCCCACCCACTCATGTTCTTTGTTGCTCTCTCCCCCCTCCCCCCTCCTACTTGAGCTTTGTAGATATCCTTGGTTCTTCTCAAACTGGCTGGATTTGGGGACGATGTTATTCCAAGGCACTGAAACTAGCTGAGCCCTGGCTTGCTTATTACGAATGCTAAAAGTTTTCTACCATGGATAGGGGACTACACAACATCAAAAACATGATGTTTGAAATTCTTGGATTCAGAGAGGCTAGCTACAGGCTTCCAAGAGGCTATCTGTGTTTGCTCAGAGGCCAGCCCTACTTTCCTTAGTAAAAACGTATTTTCAAGAAAGGGTGCAGAGATGGCAGCCTGAATTGTTTAACTTCTCACCCTCATCACTCACGCCATCTTCAGCCCTCTATACTCATCACCAACAGTCTAGATAGAAGATATTCCTGCCATTCTTTTCTCTTGTTGCTTTTTCTACCCCTCCCTCCAGGATACTTGGCCATGTCTTCCGTCTCACCTCCCACTCAGCTCTGCTGTTAATCCAAGAGCCCATGAGGACACCTAATGGCAGTCAAGGAAAAAAGTAGCTATGGCCAGAGACTCACAGCCTCTTTCTCCGACTCTTCCATTATTAGAAAACCAATCTGAGCACACTACCAGACCCAAACCTGAAATAGGCTTGCTAGAGATAGGTATTAACGTCTGTTTGGCCCATCATGTATGAACATGAGTTAAATTTGTATGCCATTTCTAAAGTCAGATACACTTTATTCTCACATTCAGAATGTTCTCTCCACATCCAACTCATATACTTAAACATTTATGGTTATGTTGAAAACACACCTACATATGTCTTTTGTATTTGCTGAGATACACAGACATGGGTACTAACACACACACACACACACACACACACACACAAAGAATATTTGCAAAGATCACTTCTGCATCTAATATATATCCAGGCAATCAGCTCTGATAGTGTATGCAAACAAGTATACCCTCATCCATTTGCATAAATATCAATGCTTGGCAGGCAGTCACCACACACTGATAGACAATGCCGCAATGAACAGCTATTGCCAACTTCTTGGCCAGACAAGATTCTGCATCCTAAAAAAAAGGGAGGGGGACTACTTATCCGGATAGATCTCTCAAGAGACCTGGCAGAGAAATGCTCTTTATTTTTGCAACCAGGAATTTACAAACAACTAAGCAACTGCAGAGAACTCAGACTACTGTGCCTTGGATTCAGATCTAAGCTGAATCCAAGGACCCGCTCATTTTAAGGCAACAAAAACTCAGATGTTGTCACCCTCTTTTCCACTCTAGAATCTTTAACTGCTTGGTGACTTTGCCTTCCTCTTCCCATTCCCAAGAGGGGATGCTGTGATTTTTTTTTTCCTCTTGAATAAATGTTCAGTAGGCAACATCTCCCACCTCTTCCCACTCTTCTCCGGGAATCCAGAAGAAACAGGGACTTACTGTGTTCGGGAAAGCCCTGGATCATGTCAAACTTGTGGATCTCTTTGGCGTAGTACTCGGACTCCGAGTTGTCCTGAGAGCAGCTGTCCTCCTTCTCCTCCTCCATCTCCTCTAGTAGCTCCCGAGTGCTGTTATACAGAGCCAGGACTTGATAGGGCACGTGGCTTCGCCCCACACTCTCCGGAGGGCTGGTGAGGCGCAGTTTGCTCAGGATTTGGCCCCGGATGGCCTCTATCCTCTTCTTCTTGATGTGCTCCAGGTCCAGCGTCGTGCAGGAGGAGAGCGACAGGCTGACGGTGGCCAAGCTCAGGAGCGAGAGGAGCAGCAAAGTCCCGTGCAAGTGCATCTTCAGGCGTGGGGCAAGGTGGGGAAAGGGCGGCGGGGCAACTCCGCAGGAAAGCGCGCGGGCGGAAAGGCGCGGGCGACCAAGCAGATCCTGCAGTTTGGCACTTGGCGAGAAGGGGCATGAAGGATCTCCCCGCCGGCCTCGGGAGCGGGTTGGACTCCTAGCCTAGGAAGAACCGCCGGCCGCTCTCCAGGCAGAGGAGGAAGCGGATCGGCGCCCCGCCCCGCCGGGGTTCCTCTCCATGAGGGCGAGGGGGCAAATCGGGCCGGGGGAGGGACGAGCTGCCGGCTTCACCGCCTCGCCCGGGCTCCCAATCCCGCCGCGCCGCTGGGCAGCTTCGGAGGGGGCAGACGCCCGAAAGACTCCGCGGGGAGCGCACGGGTCAGGGGCCGAGAGCGCACTTGCGGCGGCCGCTGCGCTCCATTCCGGCGGCTTCGTCGCTCGCCATGCCGGTGGGAAGTGCGCCGAGACGGGGTCCCCTCAAGAGATGTGCCCGACCTGCCTTTGCCGTTCTTCTCGCTCCTGAGCTGGGCGCGGGCGGGCAGAGCGGCTAGCGGTGCCCCTGGCCGGCTTTCGGAGCTCGCCCGCCGTCGCCCGGGTGCCCAGTTTCTGGCAGAAGCCACCTCTTGTCTTCCGCCGAGAGCCAGCCGTCCCGCTCGCAAACCGCCGCCGAGCTCCCCTCGGACCCCTTCGCCGTCGCCTCCGCTGCCTTTTCTCGCCAGGCGCACTGCCTGCTTCGGTTTCTCTCGCTTGAAATTTTATACCTCCCTCCCATGACGTCTTTGAGACCGGGCCGGGCACAGGGGGAGCAACCGAGGGCTCTCTCCAAGCCCAGCCTTCGCGTCCAGCGCAAGACTAATGGGGCGCTTTCCGCTCTGGGAAGGCGGTGGCGCTTGGGAGCTTCGGCTTCCGAGCTTCCACGAAGTGATCAGTAGGAGCTAAAAGGTTCGGCCCCACGAACTGTATCAGCGCGCTAACCGCCTTTCCTCCCCCTCCCTTTTTTTTTAAAAAGGAAAAATATCCAGGGGCGTGAGATTAAAGTAGGGAAAATTGGTCGGAAATTTTTCGAGGTGCCTCGATTGCAACCGACGTCCCCGAAGCATCCCAAGCGTCCTTTCTGTGCTGGTGTTTTGCCATGATCTCGTGATCACCGGTGGTGCCAACAAGTGGAATCTATGTGTTGGCACACCTGTATGATCCTGCACTCAGTCCTTCCCCAGTACTAAAGGCTTTTGATTAACTGAAGTGATTCGATCCCGCAGCTATACTCAAATATAAAGCTTGGCGGAATGATTTCTTCCAAGTAAACCTGGCAGATCAGGTGAATTCTAACGAAGACCCTCATTTTTAACTATGGCTTGAACATATTACGATGTTACAGCACCGAAAAGCCCGGTCTCATAGTTGCTGTAACAGCGTCATGACAAGAGGTTGACCCTGAAGAGAGAGAGAGAGAGAGAGAGAGAAACAATTACGCTGTGTTTTGAAGAGCTGGGTGTTCCCTCTGGTTTTGTTTTGTTTGTAAAGTGTTGGGAATGTGAGGTCGCGAACTGATTTAGCAAGCGGCTTGGAATTACCGTGTGTTCTCTTTTTAATTTAATTTTTATAATTTGTAAAATCATCTTTTGTATTTCTTTTATTTTCCCCCATCTGGTTTTTTTCTTAAGCATCTTTAAAATTCACAATAAAAAAGAACTATGCTGTATGTCGTGACCCCGCCCCACTTCATTAATTTTATTTATTACATAAATCACTGCAAAATAGGAATAAAGTGCAGCCAAGGAAGCGAATAATGCCCTCTGGTGGACAGTGCTCTCCTCACTTTTAGGAGAAGCTCCCCTTGGAATGGTTTTCAAGGAAGCTTGTTCCCGAAACGGAAAATGGATTAAATATTTTGGCATTATATCGTCCTCACCTCCCAGTTATTTCCAGCTGCTAAACAATATCTTGCATCTTAAAGCTAAAGTGTACCTAAAGCGACTTTTCTTTTTTTTTATAAACTATATCTCTTCATGTAACAACCTATTTCCAGTTTTATTTAGTGGCTCTTAGAATGAAAATATGCTTGTTGGAAATATGCCATTCCTTGCATCCATAGGTAACATTTTAATTGATTTAATGTTAAATATGTACTTTACTTTTCTGTTACAGAACAATATTCAAATATAAAATATAGCAACCAAAGTACAATAAAGCAATGACAACAGTTCTTTAAATGTATAAAGAGGAAGAAAATAGAAAGGAGCAATTTAATTATTTAGAAAATAAGGAAATCATCCTTTCTCATAAAGATTGAGTCATTAGTGCCCAGTGAATCAATTAACATTATATATATCAATGTAATAGAAACAGCTACAAGAACATACATTGATCAAACTTCACTATCTGTAAGCTGTAACGAAAAAGGACATTTTATGCAAATTGCTCTACACTGAGCAAAAATTGTATAATAAGAGCATTCATGTGACTGCTTTGCTAGCCTGTACTTGCGCACCTAGCATATAAATGCAATTTCCAGCATTGCTTTTTATGGAAAAACAATTACTTGTGTGGAAATTTCTAATAGGAGAAATTCTCTGGGGTTCAGTCTCTTGAAAATCAAGCATTTGGTTCAGGGAGAAAGACTTTCTACATCTGAAACACAAACGAACAAAGCCTCTTAGGCATTAAACCAACCAGACATGTCAAACACAAGGCCCGGGGGCTGGATGCAGCCCGCGAAGTGGTTTCATGTGACCCACGAAGCTATCCTGGAAACTGTGAGGGAACGGCCCCTGCTGCCTTGGTCCTGGCCCAGACCAGCCGGGAGCCAATGTACAATTTTGTGGTGGCCATCTTGGCACTTGCCCCGGTGGACCATGCCTTGGCACTTGCCCCCGTCCCACCCCCTTCTGCCAGAGACCCTCAGATCTGTCCCACTTCTGCCCAGGCCCCCATAGGCACCCTTGACACAAATGATGTAGAACTGGCTACGCCCACCCATTCCATCCACGCCCACCCAGTAGGCTGCACCCACTCTGGCCACACACACACACCCTGGCAACCGCAATGCTGATGCGGCCCTCAGTGAAATTGAGTTTGACACCTCTGCATTAAACTTTCCACGTCTCTTTTTCTTATTAGTTTTTAGTGTTATTTTAGACTTAAGTTTAAATTTAATTCTTAGTTTTCTTAACATTCGTAGCTTGTCCACTTTGAGCCTCCACACATCCCTGACTTAGAGACGTAGTTCTCTTGCAGTAGTTCTTTTTAAGACTGAGCAATGCTTAAACACGTGCCTTACTAGCACCTACATAATTAAATACTCCAGGGCGATAGCAAAGAATACTGTCAAGTCAGCACCGTCACTCGAATCCTCCCAGCCAGAAGAACGCGGACCCTTTAAGCGGAAGTCGTGGTTGCTATGGACGCTTAAAAGGCGGGTTTTTTCCCGGAAGTAAACGGCTCCTCGCCCCCCCCAATCTCGAGTTCCGGCACGTTGGGCCTGAGGGATGGAGGACGAGTTGGAGTTGGATGAGGAGGTCTGCAAGGGGGTAAGGCGAGCGCGGACATGGTTACCATGGTGACGAAGGGACATTTCTCCTGGCCTATTTTACAGCCCGCCTTGCGTGATTTACTCGGGCATTTGGCCAGACTTCGCGGTTGAGGTCTTGGCCCCCCTCCCCCCCCGCCCTCTCGAAGCCCCCGAGTAGGTCTCTCTGGGTAGGCGCGTAGCCAAGTTTGTGCCGCAGTTCCGCTGAAAAATTCAGACTTGGCGCGCCGGTCTTTAAAAAGGCTTTTAAACGGCACACTTGCTGCAGAGCCTCCCGGGCGAACGTTTTTCTCGGAGGGTCAGCACAGATTGATTATCCCTGTATGCCATTATTATGTGTAGTTCTGAGGGAGATCTTTTGAATAACTACATTAATATTCTTCATGCAGGTAGTAAAGATGGGTAGACGTGCTCATCATGATTACTTCCCAGACGAAAACCACCTTAGCCAGATGAACTCTCCAGTTGCACAGGTAGGTGTAACTGAATTGAGCAACATTGTCTGGATGGCTTGGATTTGACTGATAAATGGAGCATGTTACTCAAATAGCAATGTAAGGATAGCCATATTGAGCTGCAGAATTCCAGTTGAATAATTGGCCACAAAGAAACAGAATATTATACAATAACTGATTATCTATCAGATTTCTACACAGTCTATCTTACGTAAGCGAATCTTGGCAGTTTGCAAACATCCGGTAGTTGTCTGTATTTTTGCAGCTGAGATATAGTACTCATAGATAGATTTTCTAATTGTGAGACCTGCTGGTTGTAGAAATCTTGTCCTTCTGGAACATGCTGTCAAATATAGCTTTTCATTACATGCTATATTTTTATACATCCATCCATAGAAGATCTGTGACAGAGCTGGAAAAACTGGTTAGTTAAATTCTGGATAACCATTTACCAAGTAATCATTTACAACATAAATGTTTTGAAGTAATTAGTAAGTTGGTTATTGGTATCATTTTATCAAATAGCACGGGTTTGTTAAAAACAGATCATGCCAAACCAATCTTATTTCATTCTTTGATAAAGTGACTAAACTAATAGACCAGTGAAATACTGTGGACGTAGTAGACTTAGACTTAAGTAAGGCATTTGATAAAGTAGACTACAACCTACTACTTGGTAAGCTAGAAAAAGCTGGAATAGACAACATCACCACCAGATGGATCTGTAGCTGGCTGGCAAACCGTACTCAAAGAGTAGTCCTGAACGGCACTACATCCATATGGAGAGAAGTAAGCAGTGTGGGGTACCACAAGGTTTCGTCTTAGGCCCAGTACTCTTCAATATATTCATCAATGACTTAGATGAGACAATTGAAGAGGAACTCATCAAATTTGCAGATGACACCAAACATAGGAGTAGCCAACAGAAGACAAACTCAGGATTCAAAAAGATCTTGACAAATTTGAACAATGGGCCCTATCCAACAAAATGAGTTTCAATGTGGAGAAAAGCAAAGTTTTACATTTAGGCAGGAAAAATCAAAGGTACAAGTACAGATTGTGCAAAACCTTCCTTAAAAACAGTAACTGTGAGAGGAACCTTGGAGTCCTAGTGGACAATCACTTGACTATGAGCCAGTAATGTGCAGCAGCAGCCAAAAAAGCCAATTCAATCCTGGGTTGTATAAATAAAGGCATAGAATCAAGATCACGCAAGGTATTAGTACCGCTTTATAAAACCCTAGTAAGACCACACCTGGAATATTGCAACAAATTTTGGTCACCATATCACAAAAAAGATGTTGAGAGTTTCAAAAAAATTCAGAGAAGAACAACTAAGATGATCAAAGGCCTGGAGACTAAAACATAGGAAGAATGGCTGCAGGACTTGGATTTGGCTAGTCTAAAGAAAAGAAGAGATAGGGGAGGCATGATAGCAGTATTCCAGCATTTGAGGGGCTGCTACAAAGAAGAGGGAGTCATGTTATTCACTAAAGCACCAGAGGGCAGGACAAGAAACAGTGGTTAGAAACTGATCAAAGAGAGAAGCAATCTGGAATTAAGGAGAAACTTCCTGACAGTGAGGACAATTAACAAGTGGAACAGCTTGCCTCCAGAAATCATGGGTCCATCACTGGAGATTTTTAAGAATAGGTTAGACAGTCACTTGTCTGAGATGGTATAGGTTCTCTTGCTTGACGGGGCTGTACTAGAAGACCTCCAAGGTCCCTTCCAGCTTCTATTCTATTCTATTCTATTCTATTCTATTCTATTCTATTCTATTCTATTCTATTCTATTCTATTCTATTCTATTCTATTCTATTCTATTCCTCTGGCTCACCATATTTGAGATTGATTTCTGCATGTCATAATGTCACTGGCAAATTATAAAAGTGCTGGAATATTTTCTTATGATTACCTCAGTTAAATAACAAATTATTCAGTGTTCATTTATATGCAAAAATATGTGTAAGGAACAGACAATTCTCTGACAGCATGGGCATCTATAGAAGGACCTTTTCAGCAAATCTGAATGGATATTTTTTTTAACAGATCTCATGGATTTTCATATTGTCATGTCCTAAGATGTGTAGGGCTTTAAGAGTTAGTACAACATCTTAGATTATGCTTGAGAAGTAATTGACCAAAAGTGTAGATATTTCAGTATGGACATCTTGCAATCTCTCTCTTAATAATTAGCAGCTTAGGCATATTTCATGTACTGAGCATGTAATAGTTAGGACAGGGTATAATCTAGGCATAAATAATTGCTGTCAAATCTTGCCAGCTCAAGAAGTGTTGTATTAGTTGTACTAAGTATAATTGTTAAAAACTGCTTTGCCATTGCTGAAATCTATGTATCCAACAACAGCTGAAATTCAAAGTCCTGCTCTTTTATGAGGAGTGCAACCCTGTCTAAAGAAGCTGAACCTGAGTTCATTTCTTATTTAGCAGTAGCACATCTATCTTACCTAATTTAATTCAGTTTATTTTCTCCCATTCTACATATTATTGATAATAAACAATTTTCAAGAGTACTATTCTCATTATAGTGATGGTACA